TTCTACATGTCTAGAACATTCTCACAAAATTTCATAATTTTTGGAGTTCATTTACTATTTTAAATTGATTTTACAAAACAGCTGCGCACTGCTACAGTAATCCGGTCGACCGTACCGGTCGACCGAAGTACTGTAGCATCCGACCGTTGCTACAGTAACAGCTAGTTCTGTTTTTTTGTTTATTTTAATGTTTTGGGGGTGTTTTTATTGGTTTTTGGGGTTGTTTCATGAGCCTATATATACCCCATGCCCTCATACCTCTAAGGTAACTCAAGAAATGTTTTAAACAAGTTTAAAGAGTTTTAAACAAGGGTTTAAGTGAGTTTTAGTGTTTGTTTGGTTTGAAGATTATTTTCACAAGTGGAGGAGATCATCTTCTTGTTTGGGCTTCATATCTCCATCTCTCCATCTTGATCTAGAGAAGTTTTCCTAAACTCAAGTCTAGCTTTTATTTATAATTATTTGTTGATTATCATTTCTATTAAAGCTAGTTTTATATTGAGTTTAGTTTGATTTGATTTACTCTTTGTTTGCACACACAACCATTGAGCTTATTGTATTTGCATACATTATATAATTGGGTTGTGGGATAGTGTGACATTGAGTTGAGCCTAATTGAGTTCTCACCTTGTTAGAGAGAACAATCATTTGCTATATTGTGCTTAATTGTTAAATCACTTTGTAATACTCTTGTACACCGAGTGAGGAGTGTGTGGTGAGAGTCGGGGATCGTCCCAAGAGGAGTGGCGTCGGTTGACGTGCCTAGGGAGAGGTTGTAACCGAGCACTTGAGGGAGACACGGCTAGGTCCAACACTTAGTGGGTGTAGAGTGTGATTGCAAGAGTGTGAGTTGTAGAGTTTTCGGTTAGCTAGAAAACCGAGTGTGTAGAAGAAGTTCCGGCTTCCAAACCGGATTGTGTTAGTGGATTTCTCCCCGGGAGTGGGGAGCGGAGACGTAGGACGGAAGGTCCGAACTCCGTGATCATATTGCTTGTTTGAGTGTGCTTTGGCGTTCATTCATATTTATGTTCATATCTTATATCGCCATTGTCATTAGCTCATTATCTATATCATCCACTATCTAGTTCATATTGTTTACCCTTGTGTTAGTTTATATATCCTTGCATATATATTTTATCATATAGGATATATCTTATTGTTTACATTGCTTATCCTAGCTTACAAATATTGTTGTATTTTCATACTTGCTAGGATAACGTATTAATGAATTTTAATTGGCATTTAAATCGGATTAGATTAGCATAAGACCCTAATCACACCCCCTCTAGGGTCTAACACTTGCAACCAATGTGGGACTAAAACCCACTACAATACACTATTATCAACAAGATGAAAAAAAAAAGAAGCGGCAAAAATCAAACAAGAAAACAAACAACCTTACTCCATGAGGCATAGAACCCTATAACAAAAATGTGAGGCTAAAGCATTAATTTATCAAAGTTTCCAAACAGGGAAGCACAAGACCGACATCAGAGTAAAATCAACTGCATGAGGAGGTATATCGTGCACACGAAACCTGTTGGATTGCATCCTCCTATATAAAAATAAATAGCCAAACTATGCACATGAAGTTACCCTTCTAAACTTATGCTCCACAACGCATAATTGGAAAGAGCAGATTTTGTATAGAGTTTCTTTCCGTATACAAATACTATAGCCTATCCTGAAACCGCGATATCAGAATACTTTCTATGTAGATATTGTTCGACGGCCCTCCAGTTTGGAGGGTTAGAATCCTAACCACGAGAGAAAAGGAAATATGGAAGGTGGGGTTCCAGCTCTCACGTATGAGATGGAACAGCACCAGCATTCCGTTTCTTGGCCAAAATCATTTCCAGCTTTCCAATTAAATCATAAATACTTCATAATGCGTAGGTTACCACGAGATGAAAAGCAAGAGTGCGCGTTCATAATGCGAATACTGCATAAAACCTGCAAACTAAAAGTGTGAACATCAATGTTCACTTGGAAGAGCATGTTTGGCTACTACTTACTTTTTTCAATCCTTATAACTTACTTATTACTTAATTCTGAAAACTCTTTTTAAGTAAGTAAGAAACTAAGGAAGTCGTTTGGTAAACCCAAAAGTGTGAACATCAATGTTCACTTGGAAGAGCATGTTTGGCTACTACTTACTTTTTTCAATCCTTATAACTTACTTATTACTTAATTCTGAAAACTCTTTTTAAGTAAGTAAGAAACTAAGGAAGTCGTTTGGTAAACCCCTTAACTGACGAGGATATTTAAGTAGTTATGTATTTGTTAAACCAATACCTCATAAAGTTGTGTTATCAAATGACTAAAAAGGACACACTATTGTAACTCCATCTTGTTGGCAGCAGCGCCATTCAAATAAAAAAATTATGGCCGGTTGATTCTTGGCTGCAGCTCGGTGAAATAAAATTAATTAATATTTTTTTTGGTTTGGAATTTGGATTTTTTATTGGATTTAAATTTTGATATTAATGTTTATTAAAGATATATGATATATTGAAAAATTTTGATTGAAACAACATATTCCCAAAGTAGTCTCTCACTAGTAGAAAAATGAACAAACTAGACGGAACAAACTAGACGAAATTTTTTTCCGTCTAGTTTAGCTCAAACTAGACGGAAAAAATTCCGTCTAGTTTGTTCCGTCTAGTTTGAATCAATCAAGACGGAAATTTCCGTCTAGATTGACAAACTAGACGGTTTTTTATTTTTTTTAAATAGTCAATCAACCTAGACGGAAATTCCGTCTAGATTGATACAACCTAGACGGAATTTTCCGTCTAGATTGCGTAAAAAAATTACTGACCCTCTCTTTTTTTTCATTTCCCCGCCTATTTTTTTCATTTCTCCGCCTCTCTTTTCTCCCCTCCATCTAAATCCCGGGCCAAACCCTCTCTCTCTCTCCACAAATCCCCAAATCTCTCTCTCTCTCCAAACCCCCAAATCCCCCTCATCCCCCTCCACCTGCACCTCCACCTGCTTGAAAATTCCCCTCGTTCTTCCCTATCAAAAACCCTAACCCTACCTCTCTTCTTGGTTCCCAACTCCGATCCATGGCGCATCGATCTCTCCCCCCTCCTCAAAACCCTCCTCCGATCCCGCCTAACCCCCTCCCGCTCCGTCACCTACATGCCCCGCCCCGGCGACGGCGCCCCTCACCCCGTGACCATAATCCCCGATGCCTCGTTCTTCTTCCTCTGAATCTCTTGTAGAGAGAGAGAGAGAGAGAGAGAGAGAGAGAGAGAGAGCGATTCAAAAATGGTTTAGAGGTTGACCTATCGCAAGAGGCACAGCTATGCCACGAAATCGAACCCGACCCGCGTCGTCAAAACCCCTGGTAACCATCTCTCTCTCTCTCTCTCTCGATCTTTCTCGATCTCTCTCATTCTAGGGTTTTAGGCTGATTTGGGATCGGAACTATGGTTTAGTATTGAAAAGATGACTGCTTGGCGTTTGCTTTAAGTTCGTTGAAATGTAGTTTTATCAATTTTGATGATCTTGGGGTGTGTTGTGTTAATGCTGATGAACCCTGGTCTACTTTAGCATTAACTGTAATTATTATTTAATTTTAGATGGATGGAAAGCTAATGCCCAAATGAAGTTTACTTATCAGTTCTTGTTAAAAAATATGCTTTTTTCCAAATTGATTTATCCATGAATGAACCTGTAGTTTTCATTTTTATTGGATGGATGAAGTCGTCAATTGTTTAAAGTTTCTTGTGCTTGTTTTTGTCAACCAAAATGGAGTAATTGGAATGCTGTAGAAACTAATGCAAGGATAATGTTAGCTTAATTAACATCCTGTCTTTGCTGTGTCTGAACTTGTCTGTGATTTCTAATATGATGGCTTATGTAGTTATATCTTGTTATAGGTGGGAAACTTACCTACCAGACAGCCAAGAAGAGGGCGAAAGGACCGAGGTGCCATGTGACTGGAAAGAGAATCCAAGGGGTATGTGATGCTATCCTTCCCATACTATGTTTTTCTTTTTATCTTTTGATGTGTGGTTGAAGCATCTTCATTTATGTCATTGTTTACTTCATCGCTGGATCTTAGATGTTTCTTTTAAGTTGCTTTTCCATTGCGAACTCATGACTAGTGTCCGTTATCATTTTAATAGAACTGTCTACCATCATGATTACCTTGTTGGAGCTCTTAATGCGTTTCAACATTGCTTGTTGGTTTCTGAGTGTTATACTCTATGAGTGTGTATTATCATATAGTTTTCTTCATCTTGATAGCTTATCTATTTATGTGAATACAAGCACAAACTGAGTGGTAAGCAGACTATCAACTAGTTTGGAGTTGTAATCAGGAAAACCAACATGCTATAGGTCCCGTGTTAGAATAAGTTAGTGAAACCTGTCATGCATTGTTAGAATATCTCATACAAATGTTATGCTTGTGTTTGTAGATGGTTTTCCATCTCAGGTAAGGATCATTATTGAACTTGTAACAACCTCCTATATAGTAGAAATATGAATGGTTTTAGCGCTTGTTTCTTAAACCAGCAAACAGTTTATATCTTTGCTGCTATGGATTCATTTCTATGAGAAGCATGTATCATGTTACAAACGGTTTATATCTTTGCTGCTATGGTTTATATCTTTGCTATAGAGACCACCGGTATTAGAGGATCGTGAAGTAACTAACAATATCATGTTACATAATGCTGGTTAATAGTATACTGTAGGTAAAGGAGAAATAGTCTGGTAATATCAACATAATACTATCCTATGTCCAGATTTCATGAATCATCAATTGTGCTTTGCTTGGGATGATTCCAAGTTGGTTCTTATATAAGACATTAAATAGTGTGCACATGTTTTATTTTGTTTCTTTTTCTCCCATATTGAAGTTACATAGACCCTATCTCTGAGCATGCCAAGTTCAGTTTCATATATATCTTCGCAGGTCACCTAGACAATAAATGAATGGGAAAGCTAGTATCACAGTTATTTTGCATGTATCATGGTTTCATTCATATTCTAATCTAGAGTGGTGATTTATGTTCTCTTTCAGGTGGGATAACGACATTGATTGATATGCCCCTCAACAGATATCTGTCCACAATGTCTGTAGAACACTAAAACTCAAGGTAAATTTCTTATAAAGCTTCTTTCTTACTGTTTGCTTATACAGATAACTAGTGAATACTTAATTTATGTGGAGGTGGTTTTGTTGGGGGCCGCTTTCTCTGAGGATCTTCTATGTATGTATAGTCAGAAAACTGAAACTAGTTTGCTAAGGTTTCCTATGTTTGTATTAATAAGTATTTATTTAAGTGGACCCTTTGTCTCATTTTTCCTAGTTACTTCAAATGACACATAACAAAGCTTTTCTCCTACATGTTATGTTGGAATTGGCTACGAAGGTTACTTGCTGATACACAGTTTGTATTTAACATATTGAGTATGGAGAAGTGAAGGTTTGGAGCCATAGGGCTTAATTTCAAAAAAAAAGAAGAATTGAATCTGTTTTTCTGCAGGGTGTTTCTGTGTTTCATCTTAAATTATTTGTATGAATTGACTGAAATAGAAAAATCTTTGATGTGGTTTTATTCTCATGCATTTCAGAGTCTGGTCAGTGAAGTTTGCATTGTGAAAAGCGCTACATCTCTGATGCTTCCATGTGAGAAAAAAGGTCTTGCTGAAGTGATGCATAATGAAGCTCTTGCTAAATAGAAAATTACTTCTTATCTATGTAAACAATTTATGTATCACACTAGTATTTTGGTGAATGTATTATTGAATATAATTGTATTTGATATTGAAATATAATTAGATTGTGTTGGATATGAATATAATTTGGTGTTGTGCAACACTTTGCATATATACATTTGATATCATATAGCTTGCAATGCAGATTCTGAAAAAAAAAAAAAAAACTACTGTAGCAGTAGCAACTTAGACGGAAATTCCGTCTAGGTTGCTACAGTGCCCGTCTAGGTTGTTACTATTGCTACAATATCAACCTAGATGGAATTCCGTCTAGGTTGAAGCAACCTAGACGGAATTCTGTCTAGGAATCAACCTAGACGGATTTTTACTTCCGTCTAGGTTGTTTTCCATCTAGTTTAGCAAACTAGACGGAATTCCGTCTAGTTTGCCCCAATCTAGACGGAAATATTCTAGACGGAACAAACTAGACGGATTTCCGTCTAGATGAACCAATCTAGATGGAAATTGGAGCAACCTAGACGGAAATTTCAGTCTAGGTTGCTCATTTTTCTACTAGTGTCTCTTATGTAGATTAATTTATTTTATACATCCAAATGGTAGTGTGTATATGGTTCAAGCAAATATTAATCAACCTAAAGGAAAATTAATATGTGAATGAATCATATGCATACATGTGGTGATAAATATGGACAATTATTCTGTTTTAAATGTGAATAATGAATAGGTCAATCCCTAAAAATTAAAAGTCATCCAAGTGACGCTGCCTTCGAGAAATCTTAAAGAACTTAGAGTCTTACAAGGACGATTAGCCCACATCTGCGGGTTCATCTCTAACTTGTCCAGAAAATGTCAACCATTTCAAAGGCTAATGAAGAAAGGTGTCTCCTTCATTTGGGATTACACTTGTCAAAAAACGTTCCATGAGATCAAGTGTTATCTCATGAAACCACCCATTTTAGTCGCACTAGTGTCAAGTAAACCATTCCTGATCTACATCAGGACAATGGATCACTCCCTTACATCACTTCTTGCCCAGAAGAATGACAATATCCACGAGCAAGCCATTTACTATCTTAGTCAGACTATGATTAGTATCGAGCATCGCTACAATCTAGCTGAGAAGGAGTGTCTAGCATTGGTCTTCGCAGAAGATACGACACTATCTCACTGGTCAATCTATCCATGTTATTTCAAGAGTTAATCCTTTATAGATTCTCCTGACAAAATCCAGATCGCTAAACTCCAGATTAGCCAAATAGGCAATACTAGTTTCACAATACGATATGACATTTGTGCCACAGAAAGCAATTAAAGACCAGGCAATAACTGACTTTTTTACAGAACATCTGTAATGATCATGAACTTTTGATACTAGTTAAAATAATTTTTTGGTATTTTAAAATATTCAATTATTATTTTTAAAAGAGTATCTGTATTTTTCTTGATTTTCTAGAATTTTTTACGATTTAAAAGTCCAAATTTTATATTTATTTAAATGATTTTGATATTTATAAATTAACTTAGTGCAGTAATTTTGGAATTAATCTGTTGTGTTATCGATACTATTACGTATCATTTTGAATAATATAGTGTATTATTTTTACTATTACGTATTATTTCTTATAATATGTTGTATTTTTATTACTTATTATTTTATATAATTTCTTGTATTATTTCTACTGTTGCATATTATCGGTTGTATTAGTACAACCGGTACGTTTTATTGTGTAGATAATTCTCCCGTAATTATTTGATTTTAAATGTAAGTAAATATATTTTTTATTAATTATTCTTGTTTAATTGAACAATTTGTTGTATTATTACTACTATTACATATTATCTGCTGTATTAGTATAATTGATACGTTTTAATATGTAGATAATTTTCACATAATTATGTAATTTATTTCATAAATAATATTATTTTTAATTATTTTTCAAAACCCTAAATATCCCTTTATATATATATATCATTCTATTATCTCTCTCTCGTCGTCTCTCGTCTTTCACGCCCCCGACCCCCTCCTTTCTCTCTCGCGTTATTCTTTGCCTCTCTCTCCTTCATCTACTCCTCCATCCTCTCTCTCATCTCTCTCTCTCTCTCTCTCTCTTCTCTCTCTCTCCTGCTCTCTCTCTCTATTTCTTACCCACTCAGTTCACCGCCCCTACCTCCGCACAGATCGCGTCAAGCCCGCACGTCGTCGACGGTCAGCCTTCTCCGACTCAGTCATTGCGCCAATGCCCCTAACACCCCCGTTCTGCACAGCCGCCTACAAGCCCGAGCCATCTCCAAGCTATCATCTCCTCACCGGCCTCTCCTCCTTTCCGTCGCCCTTCAGCACCGCGAGCTCTACCGTTGTCTCGACCACCGCCTCCCCACACCAGCTTCGACGAGCCCCGCTCAGGATCCGCTTCTCCCTCCGCCATCACGCCAAGTCGCCCAGATCGCCCAACCCCCAAAGAGCTGCACCAACCTCCCTCTCCGCTCACCCTCGGCCCATAAGCGCCTCTCCGACCCTCTGCGTTGCTTACCCACCGACTGCGCCGCTCCACCAAACTTGCCCAGCCCTACCTCGCGACCATCCACACCCGCTCCAAATCCGCTTCTCCTTCTCGCTGCCCACTTAGTCACCAACCTTCCCCACCGCGACCTGCCGTCGCCACCCCCCAACGCAGCAGTCCTCCTGCGGCCTATCATCGCCAACGTCGTCACAACCCTGAGCTTCAACGTCGCCGCCAACCCCCTGCTGACCTCTATTCTTCTCATCCCCGAGCTTCCCTCACCACCTCGCCGTCACCACCCTCAGATCCGACTAGATCCGTCGCCCCTTCAGCACCGATGTGCCTCACTTCAATGTCGCTTCGTTCAATAATACCTGAGGCAAGATCCCGCTTCCCTTGATTTGATATTCTATTATTTATATCCGTTAGTAATTGATTGCATGGATTAGACTATGATATGTTATTACTTGCGTGAGTTTGTTGATGAACGATATTAATTATGAGACGCTTTTAATAAAAGGAATATTTTTTAGATTTATTTTAAATTATTATTATAAGAAAAGAAGTTGATTTTGGAAAAGGGGTTAGTTTTGGATTAATATAACGAGAAAGAATTTTTAAAAGAATTTTTTGGAATTAATAAATTTATGATCATGACGATTGAAAACTGTGACATTTCATGTGTAAAGCAATCACGATTTTCAATTTTCTTTTTGACCGTAGTTATATTAGATATTATCTAGCTGTTGATAATTTTTATGAGTAGTTTAGAAGTCCGAATAACAAGATATTAATAAAACCGGTCTGCATGCATGCTTTTACTGTTCATGATTACATTTCATGTTTTACGATCTTTATTTTAATATATTCGATATGACATGATGTTGTTGCATAGAATCAATTAGATTTATTTACTGTTTCTTGCTATATTTTGAGAACCAATAGTAGTTCATGACTTAGTAGCTTTGTGTGTTATGAACCAGACTTAGTGAAATGTGTGAGTCCGTTGACTGAATTAGGAGGTGGACCAGAGATCTATTGTAGGTCATGTTGTTGACTTAGAAAAACAAGAAGAGTGGGGATGGGGAAGTCCTTGTTCGTGTGATCGGATATAGCTATTGATGTATCTTCTAGGCTCGCCCCAGGATTCAACGTAGCTTAGGGTTGGTTTGTTGGGTCAAAGTAAAGCTAGTGTAGTCACTTTGGTCCGTGAATTTGACATTAACCCGAGTTTAGCTTGACTTCGAACCAGGTTAAAATCGGATTGCGTTTAACCTTCTGACCGATCCAATGTAGAGGCTTATTGGGTGCACGTAGGGGATTTGTGAACAGTCAGTTATTCGGTAATATGAATGTTGACTCTATGTGAGATGTGGACTAGTGAGTTTTAGGATGACTAGTATTCGACCCGGTTACTGTATGTTGTTAGCCTTATGAGTATCACGTTTTAATGATGGATTGCATTTTGATTTTGTTGGATTTCCAGTTGCACGTTCCTTTTGTCATTTTTGTCGTTGTATCCTTTTTCGCATTAGGTTTTTGATCGTTCTATTTTCTTTTGTGGGGTCTTGCTGTATGCCATGGACGCTGACATACACCTGTTTTCTCTAGTGTACGTTAGACTTAGAGGAAGGACAGGTTCAGCTTGGAAATGTGCTAGAGTCAGGATATTCTCAGCAGGAGTGCTTCGTAGACAGAGTTGAAGAATAGGTCGAAGCTCAGTTATCTTTTCTTAGTTGATGGTCCTAGTTGCTTTTGTAGTATTTCCTTTCTTTTTTGTTGAACGATGTATTATATTTCTCCAATATTCAGTTGTTTAGTTTTGTATAAGGGTATGTTGATCAAAATATTATATCTTGGATGATATTCACTTATGATATGGATATTCTATTTTGAGTTATTTATTATATTCTCACTATCTGTGATCGGAGACCTGTGCCTTTGTATTTATTTCTTGATGCTTAGCATATTAGGTTGAGGAGAAATATTTATTTTTATTTATTCTCCTTAATCTAATACGTCGCGGGCTTGTTCACGTTCCGATTCTCCGGTATTTTGGGAAGCGGGGCGTGACAATACCCCATCCCCAAATCTTCTAAGCTCTATGAAGACATCCCAAATGAAGTCTTCGAGTCGAATGATACCTCAGACCACCAGATATTATGACTTTACTTTGACGGTGCATCAAAACACAACTATAAAAGGGTAGTTCTCGTAGGAGTAGGAGTAGTGCCGATCGATCTTTATAGACACATCCTTCCTTAGGCTTATTCATTGACCAAGACATGCTTCAATAATGTGGCTGAGTATAAAGCCCTTGTAATTAGCTTATAACTTGCTTAAGACATCGACATCAAATACCTTGAAGCATATGGCAATTCCAAATTGATCGTTAATCAGATCAAAGGAGAATATGAGGTCCGCAACGAAGACCTTATACCCTACCATGAGGCAGCAATGAAGATTGCTCATTCATTTGAAAGATTCTACATCAATTATGTAGCCTGGCTTGAAAACTCTCATGTGGATGCTTTGGCATCCTTTATAGCCACTCTTGCCTTGACGCCCAAATCTATTTTGTGCATCATAGTAGCTAGTCATCAACTAT